CAGGGCCGGACTGGGAGGGTAAGGGCCCCGGGTGCCACGTCACATGAAGGGCCCCCAAACCGGAACCCCCCCCCCCTTTTTCAAAAACAAAAACAAAAAAAGTCTTCGGAATATTCAGGTTTGCTGCGGCAGCAAACTCCAGCGAGCAAAGTAGGCGAGAATAAAACGTTCCGGCAAAGCTGGAATGCAGAAGAATGCGGGGAAGAAGAAAACGGAAGTCACCATGTTAAAGCATAGCGATTTCCGTTTTCTTCTTCCCCGCATTCTTCAGCATTTCAGCTTTACCGGAATGCTTTATTTTCGACATCTTATAGCTTGAAGACCGTTTTTAGGGATTATGCGGGTATTATGCTATTTAGTAGACCCTTTTGACAACGTTGCGTTGCGACCCACCTGTAGACATCTTTCGGTCTTCCGCTTTAACTTTGGAAGCATTACGGGAAACCGCCATAGAAAAATGCGAGCGAAGCGAGCAAGAACTTTTTTCGATATTTCATGACAAAACGAGCGGTTTTGAGCAAAATTCCTGGACATTTCCCACAAGGCCCCTGGCCCCGGGCGGGGCCCCGACAAGAACCCGGGTTGTAGGGGCCCCCGATGGCGAGGGGCCCCGGATGCTAGCGCATCCTAGCATCCCTGGCCAGTCCGGGCCTGACGCCTCTTTGTACGTCTTTATGTGCAACGTGGTCATTTTCGCCGTATTTTCGTCGAAAAAAGCACTCTAGCGCCCAAACAGTGCAAGATAGAGTCGAACGGACAAAATTTTCGCCCAGAGGGCTCTACTTTTACGAGTTACCCCTTAGGAGACCATAAAAAAAATTTTCCTACTTTTTAGACCAACCCCTATTTCTTTGTTACCCCCTTTCACCCCCTTAGGGATGGTTGCCAGGATTTGCACCAGGCATTTCGTTGTCCAGGAGTGACCCCTAAGTTACCCTGAAATTTTCAGACCTCTAGCTCATCTCCTTCCTCTTACACGGACGACAGACAGACAGACAGACACGAGAGCGGTTGCATAAGCCCGCTTTAATGCTTTTATTTAAAAGCAGAAGGGCGGGCTAAAAAATGATTTTCTACTTTTTGGACCAACCCTTATTTCTTTGTTACCCCCTTTCACCCCCTTTGGGGTGGTTGCCAGGATTTGCACCAGGCGTTTCGTTGTCCAGGAGTGACCCCCAAGATA